ATAAATTACCATAAAATACTAAAACTGAGATTATAATAATGAAAAGCTGTGATAAATTGTGATTGATGTAAATGCGATGATGGTAGAGTGCTTACTTCATAAGCAAGAAGTACCAAGTTTGATGCTCAAAATGCCCCTGGTAGTACCACACCCTGTTTATCAAGGCTCATGTTTTGAGTAATTTAAAAAAAGAAATGACTTTGGGGATTTGAACACAGAATTAAAAAATAATTATAATAATAAAATGAAATGTAATTAAAATTAATTATAATAAAATAATAAATGTAAAATATTAATTATAATAATAAATATAATATATTATTATAATGATAATACAGATTGAAATGACTGTGTAGGATTGTGATGTAACTGTGATGAATTGATGTGCTGACTTTTACTCATATTTGTTTTCTTTTTGACAATGAAGTGACAACCAAAAGAAGTGACAACCAAAAAAAGGCTTTTCTAACTTGTTATCACAAAGATGCAATGACAAACTAAAACTTTAGAACAGCCAGACTTTTGTTTTTAAATAATTCAATAATTATGAAAGAAAAATTTAAATTCAAATAATAAAAGTTAATAAAACAGAAAAAAAGTTTTATTAATAGTATTAAAACTAAAGTATTAAAATTCTAGGAAGCACGAAACTATTATAAATGATAATGTCAACCTTTTGATATTATTATAAATGATAATATCAACCTATTGAAACTATTATAAATGATAATGTAAACCTTTTGAAAGATACATAATAACTAAATAAACAATTATTGTGTGGCAGACGCTAAACACATAAACAATTATTTGTATGTCAAGTTACTTGCCTCAACATCTTGACACACCAGGGTTTACATCCTACGTACAGAACTTACACCCTAGTATTTTTAGTATTATTTTACCAGGGATGCAGAACCCCAAAAGGACTTTAGATTTTTATCTCTGTTTTTTCAATTGTAAACTTGTAAACTTTAGTTGGTTCCTCCTAGTGGCAGTAACACAGCAAAAATATTCGAATTCCAGAAAAGACAGCTCTTCCACAATTTAAAAATAGCATTATGGAAACCAATTCAAACCACACAATTGTGGAAACATAACTTAAAAAAATGTTTATCTTCTAAGTTATATATAGTATTATTTAGAGTTAGATGAGAGTTATATATAGTTTAATGGTTATTAGTAAAATTCACTTAGTTACATTTCAAAGTTTGAGCACAAAATTAGTTTTTAAAATGAAAAATTTTTTAGGCACATATTAACTAGACATAACTAGCTTGTAAGCAAATATTAACTAGACTTAACTTAAGCTTGTAAACTGGTAACTAAGTTGTGAGCAACATGTTTAAAAATGCAAATTTGCATAACTAAATAAAGATAATACAAACTGTACATTCTCTCGTCACTTTCTTTTAGCAATTTCCTCATTTTTTCTCCAAGCTTTAGAACAAAGGCCATGTTTTCAGGTTGAAAGATTTCATCCAAATGTGTTTCTAATGCTCGATTATCAGCCATAATTTGCACTGTGTCATACAGCCACTGGAACATGAATATTGGAGCTGAAATCAGGAAACAAAAAATAATTTAGTTTAAGATAATATATGTTGAGCAAAAATTAACAAAATAAAAATAATACATTAAAAATATAACTAAGACTAAGTTTACTTTTTACTGTGAGCAGCATATTTTCTGCGAACAAGCAGCGGTAACCTTTATCACAAGTAGAGTCAAGTAAGGCACCCCAATAACTAAACATAATTTATAAAAAATATACGATTTGTGGCTTCAAGTTCTAATATAATTATTTGTCAAAAAGCATTGGTATATTGTTTCTTTTTAAAAATAGTATTAAATAATTTACTTCTCATTTAACTTCATTATTATTATTTGCATTTTTATTCAACATATTTATTACCATTAGGAGTAAGATTAGTTTTAGTACTTTAATAAAAATGTCTTCAATGCTTACTTTAATTATAATAAAAGCACATTAATAAACTCTATTGAACTTTTACAGTGAACATTTATAGAACAACTGAAAGTTATTCCAAAATTAAAAATTAAAAATTAAAAAAAAATAGGAAATTTATAGAAAAGACCTTAGCTATGTATATATATATATATATATATATATATATATATATATATATATATATATATATATATATATATATATATATATATACATATATATATATATATATATATATATATATATATATACATACTATATATATATATATATATATATATATATATATATATATATATATATATATATATATATATATATATATATATATATATATATATATATATATATATATATATAAGTTATTCCAAAATTAAAAATTAAAAATTAAAAAAAAATAGGAAATTTATAGAAAAGACCTTAGCTATGTATATATATATATATATATATATATATATATATATATATATATATATATATATATATATATACATATATATATATATATATATATATATATATATATATACATACATATATATATATATATATATATATATATATATATATATATATATATATATATATATATATATATATATATATATAATTCTATAAATTGTTGGCTTTGAGAGTATGGAAAGTAAAAAATGATTCTTTTGACAACAAAATACGTCACTTTTAATTACTTTTTGACTTTCATTCAACATTTTTTTTAGTTAAAACTATTAATTTAAAACCTAAAAACGACAAATTTAATTAACCAGAATAATTTTAAAAACGTTCTGAATATTTTTAAAAATATAAACAATGTTTTTATTTTAATTTTTTAAATAAAATGTTTTTATTTTTACTTTTTTTTACTGTAAATCATGTGCAAGTGCTGCTACATTGACTGACAAATAGCCTGATTTGCAACAAAGTGCTGCTACTGAGGGTTTGGTGTATATATATATATATATATATATATATATATATATATATATATATATATATATATATATATATATATATATATATATATATATATATATATATTTATATATATATATATATATATATATATATATATATATATATATATATATATATATATATATATATATATATAGTATATATATATATATATATAGTATATATATATATATATATATATATATATATATATATATAATATATATATATATATATATATATATATATATATATATATATTTATATATATATATATATATATACTATATATATGAATATATATATACCACAAGCGGGATCGAAAACGGTGTAGAATAGACCGTTTTCGACAGCGTAGACCGTATTTAGGCGCTAATTTGGGCGCCGCTCAAAAAATTTTTTGTTTGGGCTGGCAATTTATTATTTAAAAATTTTTATGTAAAAGTTTTTAAATATTCTCGGGTCTTCTAAATTAATTTTATTTTAAAGAAACATTAAGTTTACATTTTATGGTAAAAATTAAAGACGGCCAAGCAAATAAATAATTAAATATATGTATATATATATATATATATATATATATATATATATATATATATATATATATATATATATATATATATATATATATATATATATATAAGGTTTTTTTACGATAAACAAATATTTATTGTAAGACTTTTTGGGAAATGCCTTACATAAATTGCTTATTTAAATAATAAAATTAATTTAAATCAAAATATATATAATGAAGCACACAAAAATTGTGTCAATAAGATTCAAATAGCATACAACAAAGGGTGAAGAGTATAATCAATTAAAAGTAATTGTACCTTGTTGCAAGTTTTAGTTCCATATCTGAGTTATTACAGCCATCTGATTTGCAGTTTGAATTAAGGGAGGCTTCAAGAAAATATGCTGAATCAATGATACCTTTAACTTCAATATTTGGTTTTAGAGTCTGTACAATTTTAGCTACACGATCAATATTTTGAAGAACACCAATACCCCCTGCACTAAACAGAAAAACTTTTATTTTAAAAAAAGATTAAAGAACAAATCATCAGTATAACATTACAGATTGTATATTTTTCTCAAAAAAATCAACTGCAAAATTAAATATTTTATTTTATCAAAATCATTTCAGAAATCAATTTTAAATTTTTTTGATCACCTGCTACCAGCCAATACTAGTGTTGATGCTTTAGCTAAACGCTTATTCAATAATTCTGTAATTAACCTGATTAGTATTTTGGATCCATGAAATGCAATATTCTCACCTTTAAAAATAATTATTAATTTATTGGTAACTTTGGTGTTAAACATATTTATATTTTAATTAAATACTTTTAAAAATTAAAAAAAAATTACTGATCTGATTTGAACAATAATATAAGAGAGTATGTTAAAAACCTTTTGAAGTAATTTGATTTGTGTTTCCTAGCCAAAAATCACTTGAACAATATGGAACATATCTAAAAAAAATATTGGAAATATGCAGATTATATTTTAAAACATGTATTAAGTATAACTGCAAAAAAATAGGTTATTTTGACATACAACCAATAATATTCTATGTTTGCATTAAATACTTAAAGTAATACAATAAAACTGCTTAATTTTTAACTAAAGCAGAGAGACTGGGTATAAAAAAAACCTATTAAAAATCAATCTATTAAAAGAGTTGTTTTGTTTAGCTACCCAATTCAATTAACAAATACCATAAGTTCTTTTAATTAATGATTTATTATTTTGTTTTACTATTTTATTATTTTAATTTAGTTATCAGGAAAGGTAGGTAAAGGAATAAGAATCAAGTAATTGAAATTATATCAATTTTGTATAATAAAATTTGTATAATAAAACCTTAAAATAAGTATTGGTGAGAATAATTAATTTATTTTAAATAAAATTTATAAACACCAATTAACATCAAATTTATTACTTTGTAAAAAAAGGGACAACATAATATGTAACAAAATGTTACAAATGTGTGTCACGTGCAATGGCATCTAAACACCTCATGCTGTTGTATTTTTCAGCTGCTATTATAATTTTGTTATCTTAAAAAAAAATTAAAAAAAGTCCACTTTTTCTGCAGTAAAAGTTGATGTTTAATGTTTGTTGTTCTATTTTAGGATAAACATAATTGAATTGTTTATTTTAGAAATCCGTCAAATGACAATTTTTTCTATGGTGTAACTGAGTCATTCATAAGCTTTAATAATATCATAAAATGATATCATTAGAATGTTCAATAAATTCTTACTGTTGTTCAAAATTTAAAAATTCAGAATCGAAATGAAATGTTTTGAAATAAATTTTTTGTACTTGAGAGTGAAATAAAATCTTCATCCACGGAAGACAATGTTGTGTGTATGGTGGGACTGGGAAATAGTTTGATTGCAATTAAACAGACAATGCAGAACTTTATGTTAAACAGATGCAACAATTAAACAATGCCATCCAGCAAAAATAAAATGATAGGCAATATGGCCTTGTTCTGCAACAAAACAATGCCTGTCCCCACATTGCCATTAAAACCAAGGAGGCAATTCAAATGCTAGGTTGGGAATTGCTGCCACATTCTCTATACTCTCCAGATTTAGCGCTATTAGATTTCCACCTCTTCCAATCTCTTTTAAACGCTTTGCAAGGTATATATCGTTCAATAATGACGTTAAACTATGGGAATAGTTCAACAAAATTTTCGAATCAAGGGGCAATTTCTCTAAAGAGGAATCGCAAAACTCATTGAATGTTGGGAGCAAGTCATAACCAACAACAGAGAATACAATATTGATTAAATTTTTATTATGTTTAATAATAAAATTATACAAATATATATATATATATATATATATATATATATATATATATATATATATATATATATATATATATATATATATATATATATGTCATGAATTTATCAGATAATCCAATAGTATTGATTAGATTGTAAGCAAGTTTGATAATACATTTGTTTAGAAGTACCATTGATAAATTTTAATTATAGAAATGTATCTTCAAATGTCAAATTTTTCTTTGATAAAGATCAATTTTACTACAATAAATATAACTTTTACAATTGACATAAAGATAATGACTATAACCCAACTATGGTCTGTTTGGTTTAATAAAAAAGCAACACTGTGCTAAATTAACAGTTTTAATCTAATTGCTATATTATTTTTTCTTTATTACCTATTTACAGCTTTCTCTAAACCATAGCTTTTTTATTTGTTTGCAATGCTTAAATATAACTATACAAGTAATTATTGTTCATCAGACAAAGAAATAAACATTACTTTTATTAAATCGAGTTTTTCAAATCGAATATTTTTTACACATTCCTTATGTCTTAAGTTCTGCTTTACCAATTTATACAAATGTTGGTAGAGATTAGTAAAAAAATATTCATGACTCAAAGTTATTACTATTCTACGTAGCTGCTAAACGTTTTCTAAATCTTTACAAAGTGCTTCACTTTTAAGCATAATATAAAGCTCATAATATAAGATTAAAGATGATGCTTTATGAGCAATATTTATGTGGTCATTAAACTAAAGATCTTAAACAAGTAATATTTTATCTTTATAAGCATCACTGTTTTTAAATTTAAATTGGAAACAAGCTCTATTTTGAGCTTGTAGCTTTACCACTTTGTGTAGTTAAGAAATTTTAAAATATTTAAGCGTTTGTATGATATTTTGTTGGCTACGACATATTTCGGTAAAATGATCAGGTCTGTGAAATACGAAATTACGAATTACGATCTGTGAAATGAAAAACACTAAATCCAATCCTTCAAAGTGCAATCTAAATTTTACTGACCGATGCGATCTCCAATGGAAGTATAGTTGTACTTCAAAATAAAAGAAACCCTGATATTTTAAATAACATTTATTAACATTTGTATTTAATATTTATTATTAATCATGTTATTATTAATAATATTTTCGTTTAATATCAATTTGATAACATTTATATCACATTGTAAATGCCGTAATCGGGTCTAGAATTTTTAAAAACTGTTCAAACAGCACTTTAACGCATTGGATTTAATGTTTCCCTCGAAAAATATTAAAATGATAAATTTTGCGGTATCATAAAATATAATCGTTTGTAGCGAAAAAACCCAAACCAAGGATTCTTTTTTTTAAAATCACAATGTCCAAATTTGAATAAGATTTTAAATAAATACGTTATTTTGGTAAAATGAACATCATAGTTTAATCATATTATCTGCTCTGATCGTTTATTGGCAATTTTTTTTATTTATATGCTCTTTCTTGGTCGGAATTCAAGTATTTTTTGTGGAAACTGATAAAAAATATTGTATTTTGACAACTATATATTGTTAATATACGTCAGAACCGATAAGAACTAGGATCCATAGTAAATTAAGGTACTTTTTCAAAAGATTTTAACTAAATTCATGTTAACGCCGATGAGCGAAAGTGATCTAAAGTCTCCAAAATTGTGTTCTTTAGACTCACTATTAGGGGTAGTAAAAAGATTTTGAAAATTATATAAAAAAGTTTCTTTAAACAATAAAAAAAACCTGAAGCAAAAAAAATTATACCATCAAAAGCTCTTGTTTGGACATAATACGCAAATAAAATCATGCTAATTCCAAATAAAAGAATTCGAATAATTTGTAAATTGCCTTAATTACACCGAGCAAGCACTTAAAAGCCAGTTTTGTAAAACATCCAAGGTTGCGGAGTTTAGAGTCCCGGGGCAATATTTTTTGCATAAGTTTCGGGAATTTACACAATTTTTGAGACTCCGTTAGTGTGAAGTTTTCTAAAATGTAAATTTCGTTTTAAAGCGGCGGATATATCCACAGTTTATCGATAAACTGTTTTTACTGAGGAATTGAATTCTAAGACTAACGGTACACTAAATGTCGCACTCCTACTAAAAAAGCAAATAGATTATTATTCTGAGAACCAATGAATATTTTGAAATAATTTTTACTCAGGGCATCATCTATTTATTTTTGAACGAACTAAAAAAATATGCAAATATTTATAAAACTGAGTTTTTTATTTATTTTCCGAATTAACTTAGTTTACCGGCAATAAAGAGTTGCAAAACCGATAGTTTTCATTATAGATCATTAAAGCTTGTTAACTTATTATATCATTTCTTTTTTTATTACAATAAGTAGCTATGGTTTTAACAGAAGAAAAATCTGAGTTGGTTTCTATACAGTTTACACCCATAAAAATGAATTGAAGCACCTTACTGGAGAGGTATCAGAATATTTTTTTTACGTATAAATTTGTTGCATAAAATTTGTATTAAATAAAATACTCTGTAGTAACATGACTTGATCCAATTTTTTTGCATACTGAAAATAAACAAAAATTTATAAAGCGAAAATCTTTTTTTTTGTTGTTGTTGTTTTTCTTGGTTTTTAATTAATATAATATATGAAGAGTGCATTTCCAAAAGGGTGTAGTGCCAAAAATAAAACTTTTCAGGAGGCAATGAAAACTGTTTTTTTTTTAAACCGTTAAATTTTTTGCAAAGCAAGTTCAGTGCGCATTTAAGACACTATGAGCAGTAGTATCGATCCCATCTTTTGTAAAATGAGAATCAGTAGTACTTACAAAATATCTAAGCAGTAAACTAAAAATGAGGGACTTTGGCACTTACACCGTTTTGGAAATCCACTCTTCATACATCATTACGTTGAAAATGTAACTACGATGCAGAAGTTTGACTTTCATCAAACTACGATGCAGAAGTTTGACTTTCATCATAACCAATTAGTTTTAATTAATTTTTTAATTTTTGTTATTTCACCTCCCCAAGGCCGATAAGGCCACTACAGACGAGGAGGCTACTTAATTGTGGTTATAACCCTCTCTTAACTCTATAACTCCGAAACACGAGCCTTGATGAACAAGGCCGCTGCGCAGAGAAACAAGTTGAGCGCGGTACTACTAGGGACGGGTGGGGATCGAACTCGGAGCCTCTCGCTTATGAAGCGAGCGCTCTACCACTACACCACTACCGCATGTTACCGCAATTAAAAAAATTATCAAAAACATGTGTTTTTTTAACCTTGAAATTCCCCTTTTAAAATAGAAAATTTTAAAAATTTTAGATAATTTTTTAAAATTAGGAACTCTTAACTTAACTCCGTAAAAAAAAAAATTTAAACAGTTAAAATTGGAACAAATTGTCTATAAGTTACGTCATGCTCTAAAGGATGTGGAGGAGGGATTGGTGCTTTTGTTACAATCCAGGCCTTGATATCTTTTGAAGTTGGATCTTGAACAATTAAAAACGTTAACTGAGAGTAATCCACGGAAAACTGAACACTGCTTGAGTACTTTTGAGTGTTGTCATACTAATCCTCAAAGTTTGACTCCAAATCGACAAAATCACCGTATAGACATTTGTACTATTTTGCTATCTAAACTGCGTACTATGAGTTGGCTCGAGAATGTTATTAAAGGTAATGAGAGAGGCTTCTATGTTTAACACTGATTTAACCCCGACTGATTACTACTTTTTTCTTTCATTGAGCGACGGTCTACATAGTAAAGATTGTTAAAAAGTAGCTCAGCTCAAAGGATTCCTGAGTGACATTTTTTTGCCTCCAGGCTTAAAGATTTCTATTTATATATATATATATATATATATATATATATATATATATATATATATATATATATATATATATATATATATATATATATATATATATATATATATATATATATATATATATATATATGCAGTACTCAAAGTGGAAAAATGTAATCGTTATTATATTAGAAAGTTTATAAAAATTTAGCGGGATGATTCTGTTATTATATGTGATTATATTACTCATGGCTTAAGATGATAAAACTGTTCCAATCTCAATTAAACATAATAATAATGATTTAATTACAGTAGTTATTAGATCTTAAAATGTTTTTTTATTCCGAAATGCCAAAATAAAAACAGCACCTGTAAATGCCCTATGATGTATTTAGAAGTTATCGAAATAGTAATATAGTTAGTAGTGGTGGTGGTGGAGTTTGTTATATGTTGAATATAAAAAACTTGACTAGTTTTTTTAAAGTTGAGATTGACCAACTCAACTCATCAAGTATATAACAAGTATAAGTATGTTTCCAAACTAAAAAAAAACATTTGGGTGCATTTATAGACCTTCTAGATCATCTGACAAAATCAAAAATACAATTATGTTTCAATTTATTGTGCTAAAATGCATTATATAGAGAATTATTTTCGGACCAGCTATTATTTAAAGATTTTGATTTCGATAAGCTTATCTGAAATAATGAAAGCGTGTACTTATCTGATGAGAATTAAAATCTAATAGAGAGTTTTAGAAGAAATTGTTAAAATGATTCTGGAAACAACTTTTAAAAACTTAATATTCTATGAATAATATTCCGGAGTTTGATAATTTAAATGAATTCTTATTTTGTCTAAAGTACTCATCAATGACAAGAATTTTAGTCATAGTTTATTTAAAAAACACTATTAACAACAAAATTAATACATAACCATTTGTTAAGTTTTAATTTTAGATTACCAAACAAAATTAATTAAATTGTACAGATTATTTGGCTAAATTACACAAAAGGTTTTGAAAATTTCTCCATAAATAATAAATATTGATTAAAACAAAATCTTCAACTGTGAGTAGAAGTAAGCATTAAGAACTGTGAGCTGAAACAAGCACTAAGAAATGTGAGCTGAAGCAAGCACTAAGAACTGTGAGCTGAAGTAAGCAATAAGAACTGTGAGCTGAAGCAAGCACTAAGAACTGTGAGCTGAAGCAAGCTCTAAGAACTGTAAGCTAAAGTAAGCACTAAGAACCAAAAACAATATGTATAAAAAAACCAAAAGACTAAACTTGAAATTGGTGTAATTACAATTTAAGGCGTGAATTTAGCAATATGAAAAGGTTTGTTAACAAGCAATCCAAAGATGCAATTTAAAATTAAGAAGAACTAAAATTTTATAAAGTTTTACTGCGCTGTTTCATTTATGGTTCTATAAAAAAGCTATATTGTATGTGAGACACCATTTTTAATAACTTTGTTATTCAAGTATGGAGTCTGTACTTATAAAAAGGCATAGATATACTCCAAAATGTGAAAAGATGCGTAGCTAAATTGATACCTGAAATTATGCACCATACAAAGTAGAGTTAACTAATTTAAATTTAGCAACATCGACCGAAGAAAAGCATGGTGATTGTATTCAATTTTATAAACTTAGTTGCATTATTATTGTTGTATGGACAAAAATAACAGAAACGAGAGAAAATTATAATAAATGGGGGATGGAAATCTTTTTAAAACGTTATTAAGTTAATAAACGGATTATTAAATGTTATTATATAACCTTAAAAAATTAATATTAATTGAGGTGTGGGAATACCGAAAATATGTTTAAATTTATATACTTTAATTTAAACATGTTTGTATAATAATTTACATTAGATCTATAAATTATAATATTCTCTTTTTTTGAAGAAGATAAGCGCACTACACTAAGCGTACTATACTAAGTGTACTACACTAAGTGTGTTACACTAAGTGTACTACATTAAGTGTACTACACTATGTGTGCTACACTTAGTGTACAACTCAAAGGGTGCTAAACTAAGAATACTACAATTGTAATATGGTCATATGTTGTATTCTTGCCATTTTAGTGATATTATGTTTACTTACAGATTGTTTTTAATATAAATTTAAGATAATCTTTTCTTACTTAAAAAAACTAAGCAACATTTTTTAATTAACAACATTTGTATTGTATTTTTGGAACAAGAAAACAAAATTTTGATTAATATCAAAAACTAATTCAAAGTTACTAAACAGAATGAGGGGGAAGTTTGTTTGGCCCTTGAGTATCCGAGCTGAATGCTATAGACGGCCAACATCAGAACAACGTTGGAGTTGTTAGGCCAACGTTGCCTCAACGCTGGTCCAACGTGTTGCGTTGCTTAAGTAGGCACATTATGTAAATTGCCTCAGTTGAGTTTATTCAGAATGTTAATTTTTAATATGATTAATGATTAAAGATTATGTATTTTGAATATAATATAAACAGAAGATTATGTATTATTTATAAATCATACAAATAAGGCATTTATAAATATTTTTCAAGCCATATTTATTTAAAATATAAATAAAGTTGGTTTTATTTTATATATTGTATAAATAAGGCAAATCTTTTCCATTAATTGTATAAAAAATCAACATTCGTGTGTAAAACTAGCTAAAACAAAATATCCATATGTGTCTACTCTAAAGTGTTAACTAAACGTCCTCTCTCCCTCCTCTCCTTTATTTTAAAATTAAGTGCTTTTGTTCGAACAAATTTAAAATATACGCGGTAGTAGACTAGTATAAATATATGCGGTAGTGGAGCGTTTGGCTTACAATCAAGAGATTCATAGTTCAAATCCATCCTAAGCCTCTGGAAATACTCACTGAACTTGTTTTATCGCTTAGCAGTCTTGATTGCCTCTGGAGTGAAACTGCGGCTTTGATTAACAAAGTTCGTGTTTCGGAGTTTAGATTTAAGAGTTGCAAATAAAAAAAACATTTTACAAGATTTTTTGTTTACTATGTTGGAATCAGCACTTTTCAGAACCAGAAAATTAAATTATAAAAGTATTTTAAAATGTAAACAAAACGGGGGTCTATTGTTTAGAGCGCCTAATAAATGGTTATAAAACAATTACTAAAATATCTTACACGTGATTATAATGGTAAAAAAGTGGATTTGAGTTTGAATCTGGATGAACCATTCCATCACCTAAAAACAAAAGTAAAGTTTATAAAAAAGGGGGTAATATTGCACATAAAATATTTAACCTAATAATGTTATTGTATTTTTAATACTCGCGACAACACAATAAACAATAAAACATACAACATTAAGTAAAATACAAACAGTTTAAAAACAGCAAAAAAGTGGAAACTTTAGATTTTAAAAAATCAGTTTTTTCCATATAAAATTACTAAAAAAACACAAGGATTTTAAATTTACTGTTATTTAATACCCCCGATAGTTTTTACAACGTTATACTCCGATTATGTTGCTCAGTAAAATATAGAGGTTTTATTTTTAAAGCTTCAATAGCTTAATACAATAAATACAGCTTTATGTCACAGTTTTTACTAAAAAGAGGACTTTAAATTTGTAAAAGAAAACAAAATACAATTCCTTTGTTTATTTTATACAATGTGCATGCTTAGTAATTGACTACCTTTCCGACAATCATGCCAAAGTTTAGACGAAGTCATAGAAAACAAACTTGAGTGGTTCATTCGAGTTGTACACGAAGCTTCATTGTGACAAAACCAACCTCCTAAATATACATAACTAAGAACATTTAATAAAATATTTAAAATCAGCTGCTATGTTGCATGTGTATTATAAAACATCAACATACAATAATTAAAATAATTCACCTTCTAGATATATAATCCAATCCTCGCTATTTTGATTTTCTCTCAGATAATATCTAAAAGAAAAACTAATATAATAAGTTTTCTACTTTGCAGCAAAATCAAAACTACGTTAACATTTTTGAGAACAAGAAAAAACAGCTACAGTTTAAAATAAGAAACAATTACCCTGATTTTGATCCATCATTGCATGTAATTTTCTCGTCCATTAAAAAAACTCTTTCCATTTCTGCTAGGCAATCTGTTTGTTGTTTGCTGGAGCCATTAGTAACGATTGGAATAGGATTTGCAATACACATTCGTATAATAACACAAAAACTGATTGTTTGAATAAAATACATTCTAAAGTAAAATAATATACTTGACATTTAGTACATGCATGTTCACAATTTGCTGTAACTAAAATTTTGAAAAAAACTTGATGAATTCAAATAACAAGGTGTTTTTCGCTGATGACGTTAAACCGATAAAGTTTCAGGCTATGACGTTTTATGCAGATGCATCATAAACTTTTCTGGAAAACGTACCTGCATAAATATATTTATTTATTTTCTTCAAATTGATGAAATCATAATATGATGGAGCTAAATATTTTACAAGGTCCTTAATTTTCCAATGTTGACACTCTATTTTAAAGCAATCATTATTAAAACCCATTTATCAACACCCTTAAACCGGAAATACCTTAAATATTTTATTTTACGCGCGTAATTTTAGACTCGGAAAACTTTTTCGAAAGCCAATATAGAAAAAATGCCGCTCATAAAGACAGACTTGCTCGAAGGTATTAATTACAATATTAATTAATTGGATTACAATTGAAGTTATTTTTATTTTTTAATTAGCGTTAAATGTTAAACTATATGTCGTTTTTTTGGTTTTTTTTTTTATATTTGAAAAACATTTTAATAAGTTGTAAACAAAGCAAAACCTAGTATACACCTAACATAACATCAATATCAAAGTAATCAAAGTTAAATAAATTTATTTATATATATGCATATATATGTATATATATGCATATATATATATATATATATATATATATATATATATATATATATATATATATATATATATATATATATATATATATATATATATATATATATATATATATATACATATATATATATATATATATATATATATATATATATATATATATATATATATATATATATATATATATATATATATATATATATATATATATATATATATATATATATATATATATATATATATATATATATATATATATACACACACACACATATACATAATTTTTTCTTTATATATCATCATATATCTATAAAAATGCAAAGAATTGTTTTTAATGTTACCTTGAATTTTTACTGAACGTTTCGGCATATAACAATAAAAATTTAAGAGATTGCATCAGCGGCATCAATTAAAATATATTTAGATAACGGTCTGATGAAACGAAGGAACATTGACGGTAGTAGTTTTGAAAGACTTTTTAATAATAGCATTGAGATTAGCATAGATTTTTAAGTGTCCACAAAGATAAATGTTCGATTGTTGGTAAAAGTGAATATTATTTATGTTGCCAAGAACTTCAACGTTGTTTTTGATTTTTTTTTTGTTTAAATGTTTATCATATAATTAATTTTTTAGCTAGCGTTAAGATTACTTGCGTTTAAAAATGTAACCACGAAATGATGTTTTTAGTTTCAATATGATTACAATCATTCTATTGGAGGCTTTATTAACAGCATACTATTAAAGTACCAATATACCAGTAAGACAGAACATTAGTTCGTCACAATGTTTTTTAGTCAACAAAACAGTTATAAAAATTACTTCGTTTTTTCTTGATTTTTTTTAATATTATATATATTTCTGCTACTAGCGAATTACTAATATTTCAAGTTTACTTTTGTTACTGTGGTTATTTGAATAACTATTGCTATTTAAGTAAGCTTTCAATGTTTAAACTTATTTAAATATTGAGATAAAATTAGTTGTGCTTTCATTTTATTGTACCCGCTCTAGAGAACAAATAAAAACCTGATATGTGTTATCTGTTGGATTAAACAGAAAACCAATTAAGATAGGCGTGAAATTAACCTACAAGTGCCACTCATTAAAATAAATATTTCACTTTTGTTCTCAGTTCGATTTTATTTTTCGACACATTAAAAAAGATACTAACAAAAAAAAAAACACCTTGGCTGTTGCGTTATTACTAGCAACTAGCAAGTAAAAAATCAAGTTTAGAAAAACGTTATAAGAAATGGGTTATTTGATTTAATGTTTGAACTTAAGAAAAGTTAAATTAATATCAAATAACGACTTCAAAATATTAAAAAACAATTTCAAAATTAAAACTGACATAAAGTTGTTTAAATAATTCAACTAATAAATAGTTTTCTTAAATAACTGCTTGAATTATCGAATCCAACTTTTCTAGATCAAGCAGATATTATGCAGATTACAGCACGATAAGTTTAAATTATAAACAAGTTGTTAAAAATGCAGGTTACACTCAGCACGATAAGTTTCATTTATAAATAAATTTTTGAAAATGACTTGTTGGAGAGCTATCTCAGCTCCAAAAAAGTATTTTTTTAAAAAAAAATTAGAGATAATAAATCAACATAGTAAACAGTTTATATTGAGATATCTGCGTAACTTCCGCCGTTGAAAGTCAAACGTCATTCGGCGCATAAAGAATTTTTTTATAATAGTCGGCAATTTTTACAAAATACGTTTCTTTTGAAATTGTATAGAAGTTCTGCAAACCTAAAAAGTTTAAAAAGTTAAAAAGAAGTTTGTTTTTTTTGTTACTTTTTTGTTTTGTTCATATTTAAAATAATTTTCTTCGTCATTCGATATTATACGAACGTGGTTCGGTTTAATTTTAACGTTTTTCAATTATTTTTTAATGACGTCGCAATCCAACTAAAGAATGCTGAGTTTTATTTAGAGTGCAAAAACTCATACTGTTTAAAGGATTTTGCTATTATTACAAAATCTTAAAAATTGGTTAAAAGTGGAACTGTGATGTTGTAACCAACGAGATAATTCTTGCTAATAATTAAAGTAATATAGGTATGAATTTAACAGATAAAATTTTAAAAACTCAATAGATGTTGATTTAGCATTATCGACTTTTTTTTTTTTTTTTTTTTTTGCAGTTTAAAAAAGCAAAATTAAAAAAAAAAAATTCAATTCAATTTTTTTGAAATTCTTAAATTAGGAAAAAAAACTTTAAGAAAACATATGTCTTTATTATCGTCTTAGTTTATGGTTGTTTTTATGAGTCGAGCTCTTGCTATTATGCGTCAACTCATAATCTATTAACCCAGGTTATGCGTCAAGCAAAAACCTATTATTTTATATCGGACATCATGCCAAGATATATATTTATTTTCTCCTGCATAGTTAAAAAAATATATTTATTAAAAATATAGTGTTAAAATATGTTTGTTGTTTATGAAGACCTCTTACAGTCTCAGTTTTCAAAAGTGTTAGAACATTGAATTTATGAAGACCTCTCAAAATCTCAGATTTCAATATGAATAAAAAATTCTAAACTAAGCTTATTTATAGATTTAGAATAGAATATAAAAAAGAAACAATGAAGTTGCAGTTGTTAACTGCAGCTTTATTAAATGTTAATATTGAAGGATGTTGTTTTTATGTTTTTATCTACAAATATAAAAATAACTTCAAATAAAAATTAAGTAAAATTATATTTTATATCATGATTAGTATACCATTGAATAAATTTTGAAACGTTGATTAAATGTCTTCATCTTTTTTTTTTAAAGTAAAATGTGAAAAAATGTAAAAAAAATTTCTTGTATTTATCATAGAAAATTTTCTAAATTTTTTACCTATCACCCTTATCTTCATTCTTTTTTTCTTGCAATACCTACTTTTCAAAAAGCTTCTTAAGCACTGACATTTACAGAAAAGCGCTTTTTCGATTATGCAATAAAAAGCGATAAAAAATTGCATTGAATTGCACAAAATTTTTCAATAAAAAACGATTTACTATAAATCACCCAGCGATTCGCTCAATAAAAATGATGGCATCGCAATTACCTAACCAAATATTGCGTTTATAACTAATGGCCCGCGATTCCTTATCTAAATATTGAAATTTACCGCCTAATCGTATTACGGTGATGCCAGTGCGTAGTGGTTCTTCCTAAATAATTGAAACGATTTTTATTCAAGAGTATTGGTCTTGTAACAATAGAAAAGAGTTTTTTTAAAATCCGAACAAAGTGCTAAGAGTAATAAATAGTGCTAAGGGTAAAACTAAGGAGGGGGTATTACCACATAAGGTTTTTAGATGTACGTTATAAAATATTTTTTTTAAGAGCATTTGTTCTATAAAAATAGAAAAGAATATAAAATTGGAAAAAATGATAAAGTCACAAATGGGGCAAAGGATAAAATTGAGAGGTCTAAACCCAAGCTCTTTAGATGTCCATTACAAAAAATAACTAGGGAGTCGCTGCAGAGTTGTTTAGTAAACTTTTCTACCCGTTTAAATCTAATCCATGTAGGTTTAAATTTAGAATAAAGTCTCCTTATTGTTTAGTTTTTCTATTGTTACAAAGACAAATACTCTTAAATAAAAAAAATTTCATTTGAGTGACACGAAACTTAAAACCTGGTGGTCTCTTTGACCACTAGGGATAGCTTTTGTACTTACTTTTTTTTTACACGAGTAAGTTAATTTTTATCAAAAAGTAAATTACATAAATAATTTTACACGTTTAATGTAAATTTACATTTCCGAATAAGTAATTAATTTTTTTGAAACGACTTTTTCTTTATAATGTAAGTATTTTTACTTTCAAAAGTAAGTTATCTTATATAAAAGAAGATTACATCAAAAAGTAATTTACTTTTACAAGTAAAAGTTACATGAAATAGCTGTTTACTTTTACATTTAAAAGTTAATTACTTTTGAAAATTACATTACATAATATAAAAGTTCTTCAGACAATTTACATTTACCTATAAAAGTAACTAATTAAAAAAAATTATATTAAAAACATGTATTTGAAAGTAAATTTACATAAACGTAATGTGCTATCAAATGTAAATTAAATTTACAAATAAAACAATATTTTTTAAGTAGGAAATTTTCATTTTAAAAGTAATAACAAATCTTTATTGAAAATAAATTATATAAAATAAAGTAAATTAAAAGTAATTTATATAAAGTAAGTAAATTTGCTTATATTTTACAATAACTTTGATAGTACCTTATACACTAGTATTGCAAAAAGTAAACTCTAGAATTCAGACAAAGCTGAAACATGGTAGTTATAAGGCGCATATACCTATGGGAGACTCAGAAAGGGTTGATTATTTGAAAGGCAAAATTGGCATAATTGTTAATTCTTTTTACGGGTTTTTGCGTGAAAGTTTTTATTATTGAAAAACTAAGAAGGGAAAGTTTAAACCAGTCCTTGATTATGGGGGTTACAACCCCATGTCCCATAGATTTAGGAGCTCCAAAATTTTTAAGAGGATGCTTTATTTTTGTAAGATTTTTTCGTCACATAGTAAGAAAAAAGTCCACCTGCTCAAAAGTATCCCCAGACCCTGCAAGTCTTAATCCGGCACTGGTTTTAAGAAGTACGGTTTTTTTTTGGGCGTGAAAAATTTAAAATTTTTTATGTAAATGTCTTTATCTGCGTGTAGTATCAGTGGCCCAACTACAGTAAGGCCAGTGTAAGCAACATTTAATTTTAAATTTAAAAGTTTTTTTGAACCACTCTACTAATATTGCTATGTTAAATAAATTAAAATGGCTGTTGTGTTGTTGTGGTTATGAAAAGTTATAATTTTTTTTTTAAGTTAATTACTTTTACTTTTTTAACTTGAGTTTTTTTTTTTTTTAATTAATCTCGATGTTATTTAAATCAGTTATTTAATTTTTTTTTTAAAAGACTGTCTGGTTTATTGTTCTTGTTTTGGAAATAGCTCTGCATTTTGCAATTTTATTTTAAGTTTTGTATGTTTTATTCAGCGTTGTCGTTGTTAAAAGCCAATCTATCTAAAATAAGTATTTTCTGGAAATGACTAACTGGAATAATTGTTGTCTGGAACAGACTAATTGAAATTAGTTTATTCCAGACATTAATAGCTATTAATAAATAAACAAAAAAATAATTAATTTTAATTTCTCTTAGAGTGGTTGTTACAACCAGGGCCAACCAGGGCCAACCAGGGCCATCCCGAACGGGGGGTGTAGGGGGTATCCTCTCAACAAAGCTGTTATATATGTATTTGAGTTAGCACATTTGAACATTTAGCATTTCAGTTGCCAAGTTTTAAAATATAATTGGCAAATGTCAAAAATTGAGGACCTTTTTTGTTGTAAAAATATGCCCGACTCCTTTACGGTAAACTTTTATCAGGGCCTAACCTATTTCCTCCCGAGAAAAAAATTAATTTTAAAACAAATTAATCAAAAAAAATTTTTTAATTTATTTTTTTAAGTATTAATTTTTGAAAAAAAGCTTGAAAAGATATTTAAATGCTTTTTCAAACATTTTTTTCAAAAAATCTTTCTTTCTAAAAAGTTATAAACCCCAACTTTGAAGAAA